CATGGTTTTCTAAAATAGTGCTCTATGAAATTAAAAAAGCTAAACAAAACATAAAGAAATGAGTATCAGTGTATATTCAATTAATTAATTCTATTTAATTAAAAAAATTACTTTAAGAAAATATATCTAAAAAGAACAAAACATAAAAGACACTAAATAACCCAAGCAAGTAAAAAAAAACACCAAAGAATATAAAAAACATATAAAAAAAATGAGCTTAATCTCCAATAAAATAAAAATAAAAGGATCAAATCTAAAAAAACATTAACTTAAAAGCATGACAAAAAAAAAAGCAACCCCTAACGAATATCCTTAAACTGGGTTAATTTTTCAAATTGAAATCCATGAAATTTCAAAATGGGGCTCGTCAAGAAGTTCAAGTTCAAATCAACTTAATGTTAAATGAAAAAATTAAGTGTAAAAAAAATAAAAACAATCTAAAAAATTTAGCAAAATAAAAAATAAAATAAAATAATGATAATAAAATCTTACAGGGAGAAAACTATTAAGGGTGAAATCATCAAAAAACTTATATTATAAAAATTATCTTAGATAGCATAAATAGCAATTATAAAAATAAAAATAAATAAGAAAAATTTAAAAATCAAACAAGGACAAAATTGAAATACATTTTAATTTTCATAAGTTATTTCAAATAAAACAATATTAACCAAAAAATCAAGGACTAGATAAAAAATAAAAAGAAGTAAAAAAAATTAAATGAGAATGATATTAAAGGAAATTTTGATTTTCATAAGTTTCTTGAAGTAAAACAAATATCAACCAAAATATAAGAGAAGCTAAAGGGCTGATTTGAAAAATTACATTTGAAAAATTATCGAGCATGGCTCAAGAATCAAAGGAGAGAAAAGGGAAAAATAAAAGTTGTTCAAAACCAAACTTGAGGTTTGTTTTTTACAAGCATCACCTTAATATAAACGAGATATCGAGATGAATCAAATGACATCGTGAAATGACATTTTTAGTTGTTAGAATCAACCACACAGGATGTCTAAAGATGACGAAGCGGTTGACATGCTGATATGTGTCTGGAATGCACCGATTTTTTTTAAAATTCTTTTAATTTGTTAAAAGACAAAACTAACCCTCATTCTATTGAATAACAAAAAAAAATTAATAGTGCAATAACAAAAATACTCTCACATCTAAGATATAGGAAACTAAAATAGAGGGACAATAAGGTATTTTTACTTTGCAAATACAAAAGATAAGATACAAACACCCTTCCCAGCCGGGCAAATTTTTTTTGTTTATAAGGTTAGATTGTTAATTTTATTGCGCATCCTATAAGTAAAAACTATAAATCTAGCCCTAAATGACAGAAAACATAACATTAAGAGTATTTATAATAATTTACAGTGTAATTTTAAAGGCAAATACTTGTTTTTCCCTGGGTCAATTTAAAAATGTCAAAATGCTCCTATTAAGAAGATAATCACACCCTCATTCCCTGGACAAAATGTTTTTTTTTTCATGGATAAATAAAAAGGATGAGGAATTAACCGTTTCCATTAACAGTGCATTAACTGTCTTGGATAACAGTGAATGCTCCCTTTCTTTTAGTTTTATTTATAATTTTTAAATTAAAACGTATCTTTAACTATTTATTCTTAGTTCATAACTTAGACATTTCACTTATTAATAGACTAATTGCTAACTAGTCACATTCTAGCTGAATGCGATGTGATCTTCAAGAAAATATCAAGTCCAATACTACTGGCATATGGCAATGAGGATACCAATACCAATTATATATACTAACACAATTTTATTTTCTTATATATATATTTTAACTTTTCTATTTTCTAAGTTCTTGAATAAATTACAGTAAATCTTGAGTTATGTATATTTTATGGGAAAATACCCTTAATAGATTTTTAGGTATTTTTTTTTAAATGAAAAATATTTAATTATGTCAAATCTTCAAGTTTTTGAAAATGTTATTTATTTTGTTATATTATTGTAATTTATCCTAAACTTTTACAACATGTGAGTTCCAGCCACATTAACATATGGGATCTTGACAAGAAGCTGAGGGTAAGCTTGCATGATTTCGAAACCTTGACTGGATCTACGCATTCGGTTGACAAGTCGCTTTGTGTTTACGTCATGATAGTGACAGTAGCAATTGTCTCTGGTTCTTCCTTCATTTTCATGCTCGTTCAGGCGTGTGCAAGAGAGAGACGAGCAATCGATCTTCAATGGAGGAGTCGTTTTCCTTCGCCGAGAGACGGGAGAGAAAATGGGTAAGGCCCATGAGATTCACAAACGTGAAACCAGACAAAAACACGTAATACATGCTGTGTTGGAAGTCTTTCGGCATGAAACACCTGTATGTTGTCCTTAACTTATACTAGATCGACCGCTTGGCTCAACTTGCAATAAATAACTTTACCGTATTTATCAACTTTATTTTCCAAAATAAATTTTACTTAATTATATTTTTTAAGAATAAATTCTTGAGTATTGAATACTTATGATATGTTTATTTATTTAATATTGGAATAATCTCATAAAACATAAATAATCAAGGTCCGGGTTTTCTATAAAAAAAAAGCTTTTGACTCCAAATGTCCAAAGAGGTGAGATGAAAATTGGGTATAGCAATGTCGTTTGTATGTATTATACAGAGATGAAAAAAAAATCAAAAAATCAAAAAAATAAAAAAATAAATGAAAAAATCCAATCATGAAAAAATCATTTAAAAAAATGAAAAAATCCAATCATGAAAAAATCAATTAAACTAATTATAATTTTAAAAAAATTGATTAATTTAGTTTTGATTTTATAAGCCTAAAATTAAACAAATCAAACCAAATTTAAATTGAAAAAAACCAAGCTAAAACCCAAAAAACCGAACCAGATCAAAAAAATCGAGTCAAATAGGTTTGAACCAGTTTTAGATTTTTTTAAAAAAATCAATTTGTTTATATTTTTTAACAAAAACCAAATCAAATAAAAAACAATCACCCTTAGTATCATGTCCTTTGTGTAAGGGTATATTTGAAAGTTCAGTTGAATTATGATTCTAATTTTTTTAATTTTTTTGTTTTAAAATAATTATTTTTTATTATTTTAAATTGTTTTAATACGTTTGTTAAATCATAAATTTATTTTGTTTAATTTATTAAGAATATAATAACATTTTTAACTTAACCTATATAAATTCTTTGTATTTAGATTAAATTATGCATTTTTAGAAATCAACAAAGGAAAATTTTAGCCTCATTTTCTTTTGTGTTTATATTTATTTTATGTTAATTGCATTGTTTTAACAATGTTGATTTTAATAATATTTTTTTAAAAAATATTTTTTTAATATATAAATTATAAAAAATACATTAAAATATAGCCTCTACTAAACTACCAAAAAAATTCTAAATAAATGCTAACTATTTATTATTGTTGCTTAGATTTAAGTTATGAGGTAAATAGAAGAGCCATTAGACTTTCTCAAGATCGAGCTTTAGAGGAAATAAATATGTACACCCTTTTATATAAAATTATAAAACTTTGTTGATTTGTTCAAGGTCCATATCATAAGTTTACTTACCCAAATCAATTATTATTTAAAAAAAATCAAAACCATATTTTGTAAAATAAATTAATAATAAATCAAGTCAAATTTTAATTTTATGGACCAAATCACTAATTAACCCATCATCTTGATAAGATTGACATCAAATTGACTTTTTTTTAATATTTAATTAGAGATATAAGACATGTCAATTAAGTTTCAAGTTTATCTATTAAATTAAGTTTGATAGCGTTGTTTTTCTAGAAACATGTTTGCATTGATTTACAATATATTTATTTTTGATTGAATATTTTTTTATAATCTTAATTTGTTGATAATAAAAAGAAAAATAAAATCTAAAAAATATTATTATAAAAACATAATGCACGCACAGACTTTAGGTGACGGGCACACCACATGCATTTATGCAAATAATCTGCCTTATACGTTCATGATATTTGATTCAAAGGCGAGAGAATCTCCCCGTAACAAGTGTCTCCTGTTCCACGCATAAATACACCCATTATTGGCAACTATGGATCCCACATAATAGAAATGGTGCGTGGCCACTCCTTTTCAAATGGATAAAAGTACCTGCTACTTCTCATGTTTTTTTAAATATTTTTTATTTAGAAATATAATAAAATATTATATATTTTATTTTTTAATATTAGTACATCATAGTATTCTTAAAACATATAAAAAATTATTTTTTTTAATAAAAATAAAATTATTTATTTTTTAAATACGTTTAAAACATAAAAATAAATAACCATCCATGTAATAGAAAAAACATCTACTCTTAACACGGGATTTACCCCTAAGACACGATTCGTTCTCACAAAACCCAGCATACGAACAAAAACTGAAATTGCCTTATCTGGTAAGGATAAAATAAAATACAATGTATTAAGAGTAAATACGACGTGTATTCTAAGGTTGGTATGATTTGGTTACTTATCGAGATAAAATAGACGGAAATAATAGAGACATAAAGAACATGTTTATATACGTTTTATATTTGAAAAATATAAAAAAATATTTTAAAATCATTTAAAGATATTTTCATTTTATATCACTTTTTTTTTAAAACAAATATATTGTTAACCCTCCTTCATGTATCATTTTTATTGTAAAATACTAACCGAATCTAACCTAAACATTTCCTCGTATTCCAATATTAAATTCACATTTTTACCAATTTACAGCAAAACTAGAAAAATAATGAGGATTTTATTTATTATAATTGGAGGTTTGAAACGTATAAATGGTTACTCGTTATTGTTTTTATGAATAAAATGTAATTGTTATCAAAATTATTTTAAAAATAAAATAAATATAATTTTAATAAATATCGAATAATTTTTTTTTATTTAAAAAGGGCTATTCTGATACTAATCCTCAACTCGGGCAAAAAAATTAAAAAATAAAATTGAAGGATAGAATAATTAAGCTTGAAAAATTGAGAGTGGAAGAAATATTTTCATTACAAAATCACCTGGCATGGAAGGCCAACGGCACAAACTCAGCCAAAGGAGTAGCAACAGGCGTGGAATCCTTCGACGGAGCTGGGGAATTCCTACACAACGGACACGTGGCATTCATCTTAAGCCATCCATCAATACAGTCAGCGTGGAAACAGTGATTACAATATGGAATACACCGTATGGTATCCCTGGGCAGGTAATCAGACAAGCATATGGGGCATGGGCCTTCATTGGGCTTGGGTAACCTCCTGCTGTCGCCCAACACCATCTTAGGGTACGACTCTATAATGGGCTCATCTAGGCCTACCACCACCACCGGCATAAGATCTATCGAATCCCTGGTGGTGAAATGCCGGTGAGGCCCATAGCCATCACTGACACCACGATCGCTTCTGCTGTTACGGCCGAAACCATTACCTTTAACCTTTATGCAAGCATAAGAAGCAAGCATTATAGTAGAAATGAGGACGAGGATACTAACAGCTATGGCAATACCATAACCGAGGCCACTACCCGCCACGGCCGGCGCTGGTGGATCAGCTATGGACATGACTCCTGAGAGAGTGAAGAAAGAGAAGATTAAACGTGTCTGGGAAGAACTAGAACAAGCTTAGAAAAACCGGATGTGTTAGATTTGAAAAGAAAGGAGAGAAGAAGGGCCAACGGGGTCCGCGGGAAGAAATTAATAGCATGAGAGCTCTGGAGTTAATGTTCAACGACTACTGCCTTAAAGAAAATTTTAAAAAAGCAGGCAAACATTTATGACGAACATTGAATTCAGTTGATTCCTTACTTTGGAATTGTTTACTGTGATGGGCACGTTATGTTGTATTGTATTCTTATATCTAATCTATTAAGATGATCCATAGTTTATGCACTTTCTACTTTCTAAATAAGTCATCAAACCCCAAAAAGGATTGGTGCGATTCGAGAAGATGGCCTTGAAAAATGCAGGCAAGATCTTAGGCAATACCTGGACGTTGTCAGAACCGTTGACGAGGCACATGATAATAAAGATAGCTCTATTAATCACCATGGACTTGATATTGTTCAGCTTATTGCAAGATCTGGTATCTTTTGGTTTTTAATTATGACCGCACTAGATATGTGTTGGATTCTTATCTATGTAGATGAAGTCTTCGTACGAGGATTGTGCTGGGCTGGACATGTTTATTTATTTTGATTAACATGAATGTTGTTTTGACTAATTTTACAAACTTTAAAGTTAATGATAAGTTTTTAATAGTTTTGAGATTTGTAAAATTTGAATTAATAATTTTTAAAAAATAAATTTAAAATTTAATTAATTGAGTTATACTCTAGTATTTTGAAAATATTATTATTATGATGTGTGTGTGTTATTGAAGTTCAAAGTTCCAAAAAACTTTAGCCTGTGTTGCAAATTCCATTTCCTGTTCGTTCTGCGTTGGATTTCTGTTCTTTTTACCTGTTCTACGTTGTATTTAAAGTGCTGTTACTTCGGGAGATGGGATGTCGCCTCACGAAAAGCTACACAGTGACCAGGGCCAGGCGACAGTTTACCAAAAACATAGGTCTCCGCATGGGGGCTTACGCTTACACAATCATGACATACGCATGAGGACAATACTCATTCAGCTTTACACTCCATTTATGTAGAATACTTGTCGTGAGGTTTTGGGGATCGTAGGGTTGATCTTGAACTACTTGTTACATTTTGTTTTGTGATGACTGTACTTTTCAGCCGAGAGATGTTTGCCGGTGACTTACTATCACTAGTCCAAGGATGACTCTGGATCATCTATCGTGTTCTTGATCCTAGACCACTTATTCTACTGGTCTCCGTGTTTTAGTCCTCCTTAGTTCTTCGTGCTTGTCTTTCAAACATAAGCAGTTATATATCGATCGAATGGTGATGTATGGTAGCCACACATTTGGGAGCTAACAGCCTGTTTTCTGGAGTAAAAGCCGCTGAAAGCTACTAAGGGAGACCTCATTAATGGATTTAAGAGATGGAAGGAATGGTGAGGAGGTGATCTCCCTAATTCGCTATTGATACTATTGCCTTCTTTTTCGAGGCATTAGCTGTCTAAGAAAGAGCATGCTGTGCTGTGCAAAGCTTCCTATATATTTGATGTTTCTTTTCCCATCCCTTGTTGAATTGCTTGTTGATAGAATGAGATCCAAATGAAGTTCTTACGGGAAGATATGGATGAGGCCCGCAAATCTCATTTGCTGAAGTGGGGTGCAGCCATGAACAAGTAAATCAAGAATTTCCGATGCAGGAATGGTAGAATAGAACCAGAGCTGGAACATTCAAACAGATAACAGAGCAACCATGTAGTTCCTTCAAGGTTATCGTGATATTAGATCAAATTGATAGTGAATACAGAAGACAGATAATAAATCTATTGACAAATAAGATGGATAGCATGATATTATTTTTGGTTACTGCAAACAAAACCATAATACCATTCGATGTCTTCCTTCATGCTATAAAATACTGAATATAGCTCCTTGTTAACAGCCTTTTCATTGTTTTCTGAGTATACATCAGCAGTATAGAAGAAAAAAATTTTGTTTCTACAGTTGAAGAAACTGAGCCAGTTTAATTTGCCAAATTAGCACTGCTCACACCTGAAGTTAAAGGCTCAGGTTCATATTGAGATTGAACCGGTACCTCAGAAACTTCTGGTGCAGATTGAACCTGTATCTCGGGGACTTCTGGCATGGAGCTGTCTGCCAGTATGGATGAGGGGGACTCTGTTTGGCTTGGCACTGCAGCTTGGATGATTTCTGCTGGCTTAAATTTGTTGATATAGTAACTGAGAGATGGTCCTTTGTATTCCGCCGTTGCTATGTTAGATGGGTTCTTACCAACTAGGAGGAGAATAAATGAAGCTACAGCTACAGAAGTGAGTCCAAGGCCAGCAACAAGTGCTACTGTGCCTTCAGAACCTTCAGCGGAAGTACCTGCAGTTCCCGAACTTATTGCACTTTCTGCTACATAAACTGCAGGCTGAAAATATTTGAAGTTATAAGATGTTGGTTGTACAGCTCCGCGCCAGAAAGAAATGCGATGGAAAAATCAAAATAACAAGCCAGTTATATCATTGTTCAGACATGAAGCCACAGTAAAGTGAACTAAAGATGAGTAACATCTGCCATTCCATGACCATGTTTTGTTGAGAAATGAGCTAGGAAATAAACCATTCTAAAAAAGAGGACATCGATAAAATCTTCCAGAAAAACCAAATCACAGTGGAGCACCATACTATTCAATGTTGTTGCTGTGTCAGAGATGAGAAAGCAGTTTGGTGTATTGATGAATCAACCATTTCCTCCCACACTTCCAAAGAAAATGCAGGAAGACATTCATAGAGGCATTCATGTTTGCTATGAATTTGGTTCCACCAACGAATTTTGACATATATGGAAGATGGGTTTGGAGCATACTATAGCATCGGTGATGGCTTTGGGATTGGTTTTTGGTACGATCTGACTCCCATCTCCCACCACAACTAGAGGCAGTAGGTTTCCATAGAAAATCCATATCTTGACTGCTATGATACATTTAAACTTGTGACAAGAGGAAGCAAGAGCCAACTAATATCAGGACTACAGTACAAGCAACCCAACTCAGAGGATAGACAATCCTTCCCAGATAAGGCTATCCATGGATAGTTGTCAACTCTCCAGTGTAATACAATCACCACCACGGACCACTTAAAGGATGAAAACTGATTCATTTGAAACAGATGTTAAGATATAGAGTTAACTCATTACCCTTGGAACATTACCATTTTCCTAGCTAATTGAAGCATACTTATGATTTCAATCTTTGGGTCGTTCAGCTTCTGCCAGGATTGATTCTAGACAGTTAATATGCTTGAAAGGCAATAAGATTAATGTGCTTTGCCGAGAGCAGCCATAACTGCTCTGAGTTGTTGATTAATGAGTAACATATATAGTGATCAAAGTTAACAAAAAAGTGAAGATTGATTATAAGAAAACCTGAAGATTACTAACCTCAACTGAATAGATATTTGTCTGTCCAGCAGTGTCTTTCTCAACATACCCTGTCCAACCGCGTTTACTCGGAGGGAATGTCCCAACGACTTTGGTTTTCTCCCCAGCCAACCACTCCATGCTCACCTTCCCAACCTATTTGACAATAGCAATCCATCATTTCTCTACATAATGCAATGTTATACAAACATATGCTTACAGGCCTCAATGCACAGATACTGAAATATAAACTGAAACAAGCCAGACTCTCCTTTCAACTAAATTGTAAGAGCAATGAATCAATTAAAACTATCTGAAGAGATTAATAAAACAAAACCCAAAATCCAACTTCATGACATAGCTGAGTTGTTGCAAAAACACTTAGACTGGATCAACATATGAAGATAAAGATAAGGTAACCAAGAAGAGTGAATAATTCCTTTGAACTGACCTCTTTTTCCGGGGCACATTCTTCAGTATTACATTCAGAGTCATCAGAGGACGCTTTGATAGTGAAAAGCTTCGGGTTTCTCTTGTTTCCATTCGTGTATTTATTGAAAAGTCTTGGTGAAGTGAGCGCGCAAGTGTTTGCTGATATCATTGCCTGTGAGGCACAAGCCATTAGCAGAGATGACCTCAAAAAGAACAGCAGTCGAGTTAGCACTCAGGAACTTGTGGCCTTCTGTGTCTTGAAGGGGTTTCAGGGCTGGAGCTGAGTGATAGGACAAGAGACAGACAGTGGGAGACGAGACAGATTTTGGTGGGGGTGTAAGAGATATTGTTTAGGATGGCTTTTCTGTGGTGGATTTTGAGGGGGTAACGTGGAGCATTTTTTGCTGGGCTTATTGAGTTGCCGATGCCTTAGAAAACAAAAGCATTATTTCCTCTCAAATCCTATCGTACCAGCTATTCAAAGGTTAATTTTGAACATCCTGTGTTCGGACAATTTTTTTAAAATTGTTTAGAAGTCATAATAAATATATGGTTCAAGATTCAATTGGAAAAAAACATATCGATGTGTAAGAGTTTGAAATTGTTTCTACTATTTTAATTATTTTTCTAATTAAATTTGAATTTGAATTATTTTTCCAACTTATATTTAAATTTCATTTGGCTGGACGGGTTTTAACATCTAAATAAACAGTTGGCGTGTTATTTTTTAATTATATATATATATATATATTTTTTAAAATATGATAGTTTTCTCTTTATTTCTATACAATTTAGTACTATAATCTTAAAACTGAAAAAATCTAATTTTTATCCAATGCCTTCATAATATAGAATTTACAATTCAACAAGGTCTACGTCTGAGCGAAAATAGGCACTGCCTGCCTCAAGCTAAGCAACCTAAATGAAGGCATGAAGATTTTCCATGCATAATATGATTTTATTATCCCATAATGATTAAAATGGACCGTCCATTTCCTTGAGTTGGTACATCAGATGCTGCAGGAAGTAGCAAGAAGGACAATAGCTATGCATCAACATTGCTTCTGTTTTGCAGCAAGGGGACTTTTTGAGAGGATGAGGCAGGGCCAAAACTCTCCTCGTCTTCAACCTTCTTGGTCGCTTCTTGGGCCTTCCCCCAAATCACTGCATAAAATCCTGAGGCTATTATTACAGCTCCAATCACACTGCAAAGGCAGGAAAGAAGAATTTAATTGGGTTTAACTTGCTAGAATTATATAAAGAATTTACATAATTTCAACAACTCAATCATGAACAAAATCCAAAAGATCAGAAGAACCTCACATTCCCAGATTCAGAGCATCACCGAAGAAGACGACACTCGCTGTGGCTGTAATGACAATCCCCAAGGGTGCGAATACAGAAACAAACACAGGACCTGTCTTCTGCAGACACCATGTTGTGACACCAACTTGGAAAGCATGGCCCAGGATTCCCTGCTTGTTTAAAATCTCAGGTCACTGGTTGCGTATTGCAACAGTATCAAGCTAACGTTTGAAGTCTAAAGAAGCTGGAATATGAGATGGGTTTTATCCACGTACCGAGAAGAGGACGGAAACCAGTCTTGTATTAGATTTTAAGCTCCAAGCAGAGGGGTCTTTTACCATGACCAGACAAACTATTGAAGTCAGTACGGTCGAAAAGAAGAAGTAAAAG